GGCTATGATATGAAGGCAATGTCCACCAGGACTCCAACTGTCTCCAAACATGGAACTTGAGGTGAGGAAGAATGTTTTAGGCCTACCAGAGTTACTCCTATAATCTAACAATATCATGTTTATCTTTATAAAAAATATCATACAGTGGACACCTAAGCCTATAGGAAAGGGGATACCTAGTCAGTTGCACAACTGAATGCTTTCAACCGAAATGTGTATTTTGCATTTAACCCAACCCCTCTGAATCAGAGAGGTGCGGGAAGGCTGCCTTAATCAACATCCACATCATCAGCGGCTGGTGAGCAGTTGTTGTTGGGGGTTAACTGCCTCGCTCAAGGGCAGAACGGCAGATTGTTCCACCTTGCCAGCTCGGGGACTTGAACCAGTGATCTTTCGGTTACTGGCCCAGTGCTCTTAACCGCTAGGCTACCTGCCACCCGTGCATGCAATGCCCTGATGCATTTAGTGCTAAAATCTCTGACAGCTGAACCGTGAGGTGGAAAATTATTGTTTAAGCAAGTAAAAAACAATAAAACAATAGGCTATAAAGTTTTGAATATGCTACACATCGAAAAACAAGGAATAGTGTTTTTGTAATTTGTCATAGGCTGTTTATAAATGTGGCTCATTTGGGCAATATCCCTTGTTTATTGATGGTGCTGGCTGTGTGAATGGATGCCCTAATGGGTTAAGCACCCAATGCATACGGATGACCAGTACATTTCTCAAACACCCAATCAATTAAAATCTTCCCAGTCACTTGACCGGCACCAAATTTTCCTGACGGAAACCCTGATATACACTACCAGTCAAAAGTTTGGACACACCTACTCATTCAAGGGTTTTTCTTTATTTGTACAATTTTTTACATTGTAGAATAATAGTGAAGACATCAAAACTATGAAATAACACATATGGAATCATTTAGTAACCAAGTGTTAAACAAATCAAAATATATTTTATATTTGAGATTCTTCAAATAGCCACCCTTTGCCTTGATGACAGCTTTGCACACTTTTTTGGCATTCTCTCAACCAGTTTCATGAGGTAGTCACCCGGAATGCATTTCAATTAACAGGTGTGCCTTCTTAAAAGTTAATTTGTGGAATTTATTTCCTTCTTAATGCGTTTGAGCCAATCAGTTGTGTTGTGACAAGGTAGGGGGGTATACAGAAGATAGCCCTATTTGGTAAAAGACCAAGTCCATATTATGGCAAGAATAGCTCAAATAAGCAAAGAGAAACGACAGTCCATCATTACTTTAAGACACAAAACAATCTTCGTCCAGTTCGAGGAGAGTAATCGCTGTTCTGATCAACCAGAAGCTCTTTTCGGTCATAAGAGACGGTAGCAGAAACATAAAAGTTTTCAAAATGTATGCTCTAAAAATATATATTTTGGCAATTCACAGCGTTACCATCGAGTCTGCTTAAAAATTATGAGGTCCACAGTTCTGAAGCACCGTATGCTTTGCTTATAGGTCAGCTTCTTTCTCAAATATTACTGCACAGCCAAAATAAAAATATACTATACTTGCTACATTTGTTTTCCAAACTGTTGCTACCATAGCAACCGTCTGCAATTAGTACGTTTACATTTCCACCCTTGCGAGACCTGTAACAGACCTATAACCGAATATTCTTTGTTGTTCCAGTGATAGTTGTTTTTTTACCTAGTTTTTTTCTATGAAGTTGCTGTTACGTTTTTAATATGAGTGCTGGACCAAGAAGCAAGAATCCGAAATCTACCACTTTCACAGTGAGTGGGAGGAAGATAATTTTTTCACCACAACAAATTCAAAATGTGTGTGTCTGATCTGCCACTCAAACGTAGCTCATACGAAGAAGGGAAATGTCGAGAGGCATTTCAAAACTGTTCACAATAAATATTTCAGGCGCATTTCATATTGTGCGCTCAGTGGAGAATCAGAGATGAGGGGTGGCATCGCGCACACACTGATACACAGAAAACATTAAGAACACCTTCCTAATATTGAGTTGCACCCCCCTCCCCTTTTGCCCTCAGCACAGCCTCAATTTGTCAGGGACATGGACTCCACAAGGAGTCGAAAGCGTTCCACAGGGATGCTGGCCCATGTTGACTCCAATGCTTCTCACAGTTCTGTCAAGTTGGCTGGATGTCCTTTGGGTGATGGACCATTCTTGATACACACGGGAAACTGTTGAGCGTGAAAACCCCAGCAGCATTGCAGTTCTTGAAATAAACCGGTGCGCCTGGCACTTACTACCATACCCAGGTCAAAGGCACTTAAATATTTTGTCTTGCCCATTCACTCTCTGAAAGGCACACATACACAATCCATGTCCCAATTGTCTCATGGCTTAAAAATCCTTCTTTAACCTGTCTCCCCCGCATATATACACTGATTGAAGTGTATTTAACAAGTGACATCAATAAGGGATCATAGCTTTCACCTGGATGTCATGGAAAGAGCAGGTGTTCTTAATGTTTTGTACACTCAGTGTTTAGCCTAACAAGCAACTAATTCTAAAACACTGACAAATATTGACATTTCATCAATTACGAATTACATGAACCTCCCCTGGACCAATCTAAACCCTCTCCCTGACAGAAATGTAAAAAGCATGACCCTCCCCCATTTTCCTCCAGGTCCCCATTATGTAAATGTCAAACCATCCCTAACAGAAGGGAACAATGTTGTTTCCTTCTTCCTCAAAAGCCTGGCATGACACAGAGCTCTACCTCTCTGCGACTTTAATTCAAAATCAGCAGTGGTAGAAAACCTCTGAATCGGATCACAGTCATAACTGTGTTGAAATCAGTAGCACAGTGAGTGAGGAAAGCAGGTTTCCCTGGGGTGCAACATACTGTCAATAAGACATATAACAAGGACATAAATATGTTTATTGAGTCGATTCAAGCCACACGGGATACCTTTCAGGATGTGAAGCAGTGGTTAAAACACTCTTCACAAACAATCAGGATCCATACAGATTTATTTTATGTAGCTTATTATTTCTTTAACCTTATTTAACCAGGCGAGTCACTTAAGAATAAATTCTTGTTTACAACGACAGCCTGGCAGATACACACAAAGGAAAAACAATAGTAACAAACACTGAACGCTGTCCTTGGCAGCTTATCAAAAATATGATTAATCTTAATAGTTTTATTGTCAATGACAATGTGTACGGCCCTTGGGCAAATCATATTGATCAATCATTCAGCGCCTTTTTAATCCAATAGAAATCAAATGTACTTCAGCCCACCGTCACAGATTAGGCTTAGCCGCAGGAGATTGATTTGTTGTTTTGTATTTCCTTCCTGATAAGAGTTGTTTGTCGTGAGTGGACTGATGACTTAAAAGAGCTTTAGTCAATCTAACAGACACTGTAATGATGTTTGAATAATACATAGTGCATCACTCCATACCAAACCTGCTGTCTGTACTAAACTACAGTACCAGTCAAAAGTTTGGACACACCTACTCATTCAAGGGTTTTTCTTTATTTTTACTATTTTCTACATTATAGAATAATAGTGAAGACATCAAAACGATGAAATAACACATATGGAACCATTTAGTAACCAATAAAGTGTTAAACATATCAAAATATATTTTAGATTTTTCAAAATAGCCACCCTTTGCCTTGATGACAGCTTTGCATACTCTTGGCATTCTCTCAACCAGCTTCACCTGGAATGCTTTTCCAACAGTCTTGAAGGAGTTCCCACACATCCTGAGCACTTGTTGGCTGCTTTTCCTTCACTCTGCGGTCCAACTCATCCCAAACCATCTCAATTGGGTTTAGGTTGGGTGATTGTGGAGGCCAGGTCATCTGATGCAGCACTCCATCACTCTCCTTCTTGGTCAAATAGCCCTTACACAGCCTGGAGGTGTGTTGGGTCATTGTCCTGTTGAAAAATAAATGATAGTCCCACTAAGCGCAAACCAGATGGGATGGCGTATCGCTGCAGAATGCTGTGGTAGCCATGCTGGTTAAGTGTGCCTTGAATTCTAAATAAATCACTGACAGTGTCACCAGCAAAGCACCCCCACACCATCACACCTCCTCCTCCATGCTTCACGGTAGGAACCACACACGTGGAGATCATCCGTTCACCTACTCTGCGTCTCACAAAGACACGGCGGTTGGAACCCAAAAATCTCCAATTTGGACTCATCAGACCAAAGGACAGATTTCCACCGGTCTAATGTCCATTGCTTGTGTTTCTTGGCCCAAGCAAGTCTCTTCTTCTTATTGGTGTCCTTTAGTAGCGGTTTCTTTGCAGCAATTCGACCATGAAAGCCTGATTCACGCAGTCTCCTCTGAACAGTTGATGTAGAGATGTGTCTGTTACTTGAACTTTGTGAAATATTTTTTGGGGCTGAAATTTCTGAGGCTGATAACTCTAATGAACTTATCCTCTGCAGCAGAGGTAACTCTGGGTCTTCCTTTCCTGTGGCAGTCCTCATGAGAGCCAGTTTCATCATAGCGCTTGATGGTTTTTGCGACTGCACTTGAAGAAACGTTCAAAGTTCTTGAAATGTTCCGTATTGACTGACCTACATGTCTTAAAGTAATGATGGATTGTAGTTTCTCTTTGCTTATTTGAGCTGTTCTTGCCATAATATGGACTTGGTCTTTTACCAAATAGGGCTATCTTCTGTATACCAACCCTACCTTGTCACAACACAACTGATTGGCTCAAACGCATTAAGAAGAAAATAAATTCCACAAATTAACTTTTAAGAAGGCACACCTGTTAATTGAAATGCATTCCAGGTGACTACCTCATGACGCTGGTTGAGACAATGCCAAGAGTGTGCAAAGCTGTCATCAAGGCAAAGGGTGGCTACTTTGAAGAATCTCAAAAATACAATATAATTTGATTTGTTTAACAATTTTTTGGTTACTACATGATTCCATATGTGTTATTTCATGGTTTTGATGTCTTCACTATTATTCTACAACGTAGAAAATAGTAAAAATTAAGAAAAACCCTGCAATGAGTAGGTGTGTCCAAACTTTTGACTGGTACTGTACATTATAGGACTCTGAGAACAGACATTGGAAACTCACTGTGCTGTGCTGAGAACAGACAGTGTTCATTCCTTTTCAGCCTCTGCCCCCTAGTGTTGACTTGTTGTACTACAACATCTGTTCTCTATGTATATTTAGGGTTCATTAGGTGCCATATATATTTATTTGAAAGTGAAACACATACATTTAGTATTCTATACAGACATTATATGCTACAAGGCATAGACACTAACACAATAAAAGCAATGATAATGCCATCCTGAGTTACACAGTACAATGAGGGTCAAAGGTAAAATCATTCACTTTGTCCAGCATGAGACATTCCATCCAGCCGTTTTATATTATACTTTCTTTTGGGCACAACACACACATACAGCTTTCAGTGAGCACGTGCCAAGTTAAGATGGCATCCACAAAGATCAGAAGGTGTGTATGCAGGAGTGGCTGTTCATATTCACATGTTTTACTTCATGCCTCTCAGTGTTGTACAGTATCTCTCACCTTATTAAAGTTACAGAGCAGCCACCAGAAGGTTCTGTGAAACCAGCATAGTGAAATTAGAGCCTTAGTACAAAGTAGTCAGAACCTATCCATGTGTATCTATCGCTCTGGGCATAGTCCCATTCCTGCCCCTACGGTGCGTTGGTCTTTCAGAGTCTAGAAGGTAACGAGAACATCGAGGTCACCAAGAAGTAATCTGGTCTGGATCCACCTATCAGTGAGCCCCGGTGTAACCTCTGAACTCTGACCCTCTAGGACTGGTTCAGGTTCAGGATCTGGTTCTGGTTGGAGTCAGAAGTTTTTGTCCCAGCCAGAGAACTCCTCATCGGCCTTAGTCTGGTCGAAGGGGAAGCGGTCAAAGTTGATGTAGCATGGACCCTGGAGGAAAAAGGGATGGGAAGAGATCAGATCAGTGGTTGTCTGGGAATGACGTTGACACTGGATATGACACAGTGACTAAATGGCAACTACTTACAACTCAATCCGTACCCTGAATTTGTACTTGATCTTTACATATAAACTAATAATTGACCATTTGTAAAATACTTATCAAACCATTTATAAATCCTTTGAAGTATACCTTAAATTTAAAGAGTTACCTGCTTGAGCTTCACAAAGATAACAAAACAAAGCTGTGTGCTGAGGCTAGACTGACCTTGCGTATGAGTCTGATTGTAGGAGCCTCCACCTGGCCCACACGAAGCTTCTGCCAGTTCATACTACTAAACCACCTGGAGGGGAATACAGGAGAGGGGGATGAATCCTCACAAAAGAAAGGTGACTGACAGAAATATTTACTGTACAGTGTATAGTACAACATTTGCAACAGTTCCAACACCAACAAACACACACCGGACAGTTGGGTCCTCATGGTTACCTGTGATTGCGGACATCTTTGATCCCATTCTTGGTGTTTCCCAGCCTCTGACCCGGCCGAGGTCTGTGGGCCACAACACAACACAAACCATCAATAACCAATCAAAACACGTATGAAAAAGAGTTATAACATCAAACTATATCCTGCACCTAACACATCATCTCTAACCTGCACAGTTTACTGATGAGAGACTTGGCCCCCTCGCCCATGTAAGGGGGGAACTTGAGCAACCCATCCAAAATTTTAGGGTAGATCTTCGCGGGCTCGGAACTGGAAAATGGAGGGCTGAAAGGCAAAACAGTCCGTTGGTAAAACAGTATTTTAGATAATCCTTTACTGAAATAAACAATTGTTTACTGAAATATCAAGCTGCTTTAACCCTTTCCGTGCTGATCTGTACAGTACCTCCCCACCAGCAGCTCATAGACCAGGATGCCCAGGGACCAGAAGTCAGCAGCGAAGTCGTGTCCCTGGTTCTGGATGATCTCTGGGGCCATGTACTCAGGAGTACCACAGAATGAGTAGGTCTTATTACCGTGCACTAACTCCTTAGCAAAACCAAAGTCTACCTACATGTAAAAACACACACATTCAAACATGCACAAATAAACACACAGAGAGTTATCTGAATGCATGAACTCTTTAGCATCGCTAATGTTATTATTAACGTACCACCCACCAGTTTGACGTAGCCCTTGGCATCCAGCATCAGATTCTCAGGCTTGAGGTCTCTGTACATGATGCCCTTCTTATGGAGGTAGGCATAGGCCTCTACTACACAGGCAGTGCAGAACACAGCAATGGGCTCATCGAAGTGACCACTGCCAAACACAGAGACAGAGCAGATAAAATAGTTTTGATCTTAATTAAATGTCTTGAAAAATCTTCAACCTCAGTTGTGTATATCTGAATTTATACAATGGGTGGTTCTAATCCTGAATGCTGATTGGTTAAAACCGCATTCCAGCCTGTGTCTATTCCACAAGTTACCACCGGCTAAATCTATGACGTTAAAATGCCTATTTACTCTGTTCCATCTGACTGCGCAATCCACTGTCTCATCAGCCCAGCCAGGCAATTTATAAACTTGATTTCCACTATAAAAAGCATCTAGACATTATCTCACATTTCTTTTAGACTAACAGTTAGTTTTCAACAGCGGAGATTTGTATAAACCTTGCTGTCTGTCTCTCCGACATTTGCAACATTGTTTCAATATTCAAATTCAATCTCCAGGTGTCCCATAGTAATGAACGTAGCGGGAGTTGGGACGAGACAGACAGGCAGGCAGCGTTTCTCAGCCAGTCGAAATCATGAATCAGCTGGCATTATTTTTATGGATGTATACAAAGAAATGTCAATTGAAAAAATATCAATTGAAACTATGTGCAGCTAGTTTGGTCCTCTGTAGCTCAGCTGGTAGAGCACGGCGCTTGTAACGCCAAGGTAGTGGGTTCGATCCCCGGGACCACCCATACATAAAAATGTATGCACGCATGACTGTAAGTCGCTTTGGATAAAAGCGTCTGCTAAATGGCATATTATTATTATTATTATTATTATTTCCAGCTTCAGTTTGAAGTGATTGTGTTAGCTTTGTTGTTGGCTAGCTCGTCTGAACAACAGTGTCCTGACAAGAGAGCACATTTTCTATGCCAGGCGAAATCGCGCATCATTAACTCATTGTTATGGATGTATCCAAATAAATGTCACTAGAAAACCGCTTAAACAAATGCAAAGCCAGCTGCTGTTGATATTGTGGCTGCACTGTTTGACGTGACTGTAAGTTAGCCGTTGTTGACCAGCTAGCAAGCAAGGGATAAGAACATTGCCAGCCAGTACGGCAATGGAACATTTCGAACGAATGACTGGGTCGCGTCCATAGATATAGAACAAAAAGACTGAACTACTGGCTCGCATCTCTGGCAACCGAACCGATAGAACGAACGACCAGCTGGTTTGGGTAGCAACCCTAGATTTGTGTCGGGACACCTTCTTGTGGAAGGATAAAATAGTATGAATAAATTCAACAAATTAAAGTTTTTAATGAAAATATGTCAATCATTGTTTGAACATGTTGCTAACCCATTGTATAAAAGGGATAGTGCCCTTGAAGCCAGTGTTTGGAGGATATATTGGCACGGTTAACAACACCCATGCCGATATATCCTCCAAAACAACGGCTTCTTGGGCATTATCACTTAAAGGTAGACTTAGTCAGCCATGTTTCCTCACACTTCTTTGAGCTTTGTCCAGATCTCCCCTCCTACACAGAACTCCATAATCATGTAGATATAGCGAGTGTCTTTGAAGGCATAATGGAGCCTGAACGGCGAGAGAGAGATAACACAGGGTTAAATATGGTACAGTATCCTCAGTCCTCCTGGACCTTGAGGGCCAAAGCAGTGTCTGATGGTTTTCCCTTCTCCCTCGGTACTTTAGTGATTAATGAATACCATCGATTGATAAGGGGACAAAGAGGGTTAATGTGTTAATTTAGATGATGATGGTTGGACATTAAAGGTTAGAGGTCAGGGGTCACCTAGCCCCACAGTCTTAATGAATACCATCAATTGACAAAGGGACAAAGAGGGTTAAAGTGCTATCGTAGATGATGATGGTTGAAGGTTAAGGGAATACCTAGTCAGTTGCACAACTGAATGCATTCAACCAAAATGTGTCTTCCACATTTAACCCAACCCTTCTGAATCAAAGAGGTGCTGTGGGCTACCTTAATTGATGTTATTGGTGCAGTTGTTGTTGGGGGTTAACTGCCTTGCTCAACGGCAGATTTTTCCACCTTGCCGGCTCAGGGATTCGAAAGAGCAAGCTTTTGGTTACTGGCCCAACATTCTTAACCGCTAGGCCACCTGCCACCTAGCCCCACAGTCACCTGACGATGAAGTCACTCTGGATGGCTTTGAGGATCCTCTTCTCAAAGAGGACATGCTCCTCCTGTTGCTTAGCAACAATGTGCTTCTTACTGACCCGCTTCATGGCAAAGTACTTCCCATGGTGCAGCGTGGTCACCTGGGGAAAACAACAACAACAACAACAAAAACAATGATAAACTTGGGATCTAAAAAGAGCCATTTAACTTTGAATTTGGCTTTCAAGCACCTTAAAGGGGACAGTAAACTTTCATCAGTTAGCTTCAGCCACTAACTATCCCTATAAATAGCCAAACAGTACAACAACACCAAACACATGTACCAGTTCAACGCGACCAAATCCTCCCACTCCGAGGGTGACAGGTTCTCCCTGGTAGCGCCCCTCCTGGTACAGCACAGGGATCAGGTCCTTCAGCCTCAGAGAGGAACTAGGACTGGTCTTCTCTGGAGCATCTGGCTCCTCCAGAACCTTAGAGCTGATGGTGGACCACAGACTACAGTTAGACTGCTTGACTAGAGTGGTGAAGATAGAACTAAAAGGACTAGAGTGTCTTTATACTCACTCATCATGGAGCTCCAGGTGTTCAATGGGGATCGTCTCCTCAAATACCCTGGAGGGGGAACATAACAGACCATCAATCATTCCATAAACTAACCGATCAAGAAATAGAAATTGACTTGTTCAGACTCACTCCTTATCGATGGAGAAGCAGGTAACAGGGCCCAGAGCAGTGCAGGTTGCAGTCCTCAGGATCTCACTGTAGGTTATGTACAGATCCACACATATGAGCAGCCACACTAACTAACACTGTACACCAAGGCCATTTTATTGTACAACAGCAAGTCTCTTTATCGCCTTAGGTACCGTATGAGGGCCAATTCCCCGAAATGCTCCCCTTTGCCCATCCTGCGAATCTGTTTCTGCTGGCTGTTCACCTTCTTAGTCACCTGGACCTGAGGGCAGACACACACACATACACACACGTACAGACCCGCACACGCACACAGACTCGTTTTTGTCCTCAAGGCCAGATCCATCCGATAAGCGATTCAGCACCAGTATGACATTGAAAAAAGAGCTGTGCAAATAAAGTTCAACTGACACAGACGGGTCAAAAGGTTGACTCTGGCAATAAACAGATGGGTTGGTAAGCACAGGTAAGAGTATTGTAGACTCCAATCCTCCACTAGTGTAGTTAGTTGTTGTTCACTATGATCATCAAACAAATGGTGCACAGAAACAGTATGTTTTGGATCACAGTAGCCACCAAACATGTCGCCATTACTGTACCTCTCCTTTAAGGATGATGTAGAACGTGTTGCCCTCTGCCCCCTCACGCACAATGACGTCATTGTTCTGGTACTTCACCTTCAAGAAACAACACATTTTATATGGGATTTGTATGTTAATGCTCTGGAAAAGCGATCTAGCGTGGGTGAGGTGTGTAAAATGGCTGAGCACAAACCTCCTCCATGGAGTCAATGATCTTAGAGAGCTGAACATCATTCAGGGCCTTCAGAGTCTGAGACCTGATAGGTAAGCATATAAGAGCAGAATTAGCAGTGTGCATGGGTGTGTGACCAAGAGAGTGTATGTAAGTCATGAGGTTAAGTGTGTAAACTCACGTCTTTAAGAAGCCCATTATCTGTTCACGTTTCTTCTTGGACTTGTTGGTCATGATGGTTCTGTACGTCTGTCTCTCCAAACACCACAGACTCACCACTGTCTTAGCTAAGATGGGGAGTGAGGCGGACAATTCATTCATAACAACAAGCAATATTCAGTTCAGCGCACACGCACAGTACAGACAATAGGAAGGTACACATAGTTAGTTATTGTGTACCACTCAATAGCCAAGTTCTATAGCATCTCACCTTTGACTGTGGCGGTGCGTTTGCAGTTATACAGAATAGCCAACTCTCCAAAGACATCCCCACAGGTCAAGGTTCGAAGGTTACGACCTGCTTGACTGACATAGAGCTCACCCGCTGAAAGTAGAGAAGGAGGGGAGAGGGGGGACATTGAGGGGTGATGGTTATCGTTTAATTGGGAATAATAAGCAGACATAGCAACACTGAGCAATGTTTGTTGGGAAATTCACACATACCTGCAACGATGTACATGCTGTCTCCCTCACTGCCCTCCTTGATGACATCATTTCCTGGTTTGAAGTCGATGGCCACTAGGAGCTCCACCATCATGGTGATCTGTTCGTCGTCAAGGCGACTCAGGAAGTCGTTCTTCTGGATGGCCATGATGATCAGACTTGTCTCACTGCGGAAGGAGGCATCACACCACCATACAGTACTGTTGTCACATAACTCATGATATTGTACATATGCTGCATGCATAGCCCTAGCCAATCACCTCACAGTCTTCTTGACTTTGGTCTTCATGATCTCCAGCTGCTCCTCTGGGATTAGCTCAGGGGCCATGACAGCCGCTCGGCTCTTCCTGACCTCCGGTTCCCCTTCATTACTGCTCATCTGAGCAGGGAACTCTGGGATATATAGACACCACACACAGGAAATTAGGGTTAATATACATGAAGTTCTATGGTTAGTGATCTGACACAAAATGCCCTTACCCAGGTCATGGTAATGACTGTGTAGCTCCTTCAGCAACTTCTCCTTCTCCTGCAGTCTTCTTTCTAGAGGTGACAGGAGAGCATGGTATTGGTTGGGATAGTTGTGTTTTAAGTCAAGGTTGATTTCATGGCTGCAGTCTTTGTTGTGGTCAAGACAATCATGTTCATGGTCTTGATCTAAGTTATGCTTGCGGTCATGGTAGTCATGGTCGTGATCGTACCTAGGTCCTTGTTGTGGTTCTGCAGCTCCTGGTTGATCAGGGTCTGTTTCTCCAGCTGTTGCCTCAGCTCCTCTAACTGGTCCTCCATGGCTGAAGGGAGGGGTGGAGGCGTGTGAGAGGAGTCACAGGAAGGTAAACACATAAACATGAAGGCATTTTTTTCATACACATTTAATTTAGCTGAAACGTTGATTTTGTAAGGAAAATCACTAACCGCTTACACTATGTGTTTCTAGAGATGCCAAGATATGTGGACTGAAGCCAATTTTCCAATGCTGCCTTTTACACAATGTTCAAAATAAGGAAGAGTATTCTTGACTTTTTTGTCTTCACACTCATACAAGCTGCACAAAACATGCATGCATGCACACACACACACACACACACACACAGTATCCCCAGTATCTGTCATTAAATTGGCACACAGTCAGTTCTCAGCGAGAGGTCTGCACTGTCAACATGAATAATGAACACTAATGATGCGCTACCAACTAGGGGCACTATGAATAGTGAATACCACCCTGGGAAGACATCTTATATAGAAACTGGTTATCACTAACCCAGGCCTTGTTGGTCATTTATTAATGGTCACTTCGTTTTTATGTTCACTACCACCTGCCAGTATTTTGTGACTCTAATATTTGCGTACCTCTGGTAGACTCACAGGTCAGACAATTGTTTCCGGAATCTAAGCTACCTTTAGTGTATGTGTGCAGGCATGAACTTAAGCTGGTGCATGTCTTAAAAACACATCCACTCTCTCATGGTAGCACAAATTGTTGTGTTTTCTTGAATTTGTGTGTCTGTGCATATACATGTAGCAACCCCCTCCAATACTACCCAACTGATGTTTCCATTGACCAGTATACAGTAGCATTGATTGTGAGGGGCTTCACAATTTTAATTTAGTAGTCAATTAAAAACTGTTTTGGTCTCTGTTGACAGAGCATACATTAACATCCATGCAAACAAAGCACATGGTTAGCCTAGCAATTAGCCTAGCACACACATCCACATCAATACAAACTGAGCCAGGGTTAGCCTAGCAATCAGTCTAGTGCCCGCTCTTCACGTGACCACAATTACCTCTCCTTCACCCTGAACATTGGACAGGGCAGAGATTAGGTGTGGTGTTACAGATTGTAAAGTTACCCAGCAAACAACTAACAACAATATAGGAGATAAAGTCTACATTTTCCACTCTGTAATTAAAGACAAAACTATTTAATTTCTAAATGGAAAGGTGAATGAATTGGTTTAATGTAAAGTGCATGTCAATCATGTTGCAACAAACTATTTGCTGATTTTCACTTCAGGCTCTTTTTACCCTTGACATTTAAGGTAAGGAAATTGTCTATAATATTGCTTTATAGGAGTGCAGCCATTCTACGAAAACACTCAAATGGGGCAGATTGGGATCATGACCTCCAATACCTGGGTTAACCATTGAGAAATGATTACCTCACATAACAATCGACTGGCCCCCAAGCCAGTCACTACAATCACAACTTGGCCCATTAAAACTACATGCATATTACTGCAACCAAACTCTGATATAGCTCCAACAGGTCTCATTTTTGCTCAAAGATATTGATTCTACAAGGGAAAAGACTTTAGTCAGACTCACCTGTACGCTGTGTAGAGAGGTGTGGTAGGAAGGAGGGTGAGTCTGTGTAGCTGCTACAGTTCCCACATGGATCGTCACATGAGGCTCAGGACCTTCCTCCAGCACTCCGTAAATCCACCGATACGGTAAAGTCTTGTAGGTCCTGTATCAGGTTGTCTCCACCTGAAAGGGAAACGTGATCTAAATGCTCCTAGGCCCCATGCAGAGTCCACTCATTTGTACAGACACAAACACACTGCCTCCAATCTCTGTTTCACTACAATTACCTAATCCTGTATCTTTCCTCTCCCTCACTCTCCTCTTTCTGACCTCACCTAGGTCCCTCTACGCCTCTATTCTTACTGCTCTCTCTCTCCCTTTCTCTCTCTCTCTCTCTCTATCTCCCTCTCTCTCTCTCTCTCTCTCTCTCTCTCCTCTCTCTCTCTCTCCTCTCTCTCTCTCCTCTCTCACTCTCTCTCTTACTCCTTATCCGTCTGTCTGCTCAGCAGCTCGAGAGTGTTGGATCATTAACCAGACCCCCGAGGCTCCTCCTATTACATCAGGTAGAGGAAGACAGGGGAACCAAGGAGGATGAGGAGGAAGAGGAGGGAGGAGGAGGGACGGGTGGGGAGGGACGGTTGGGGGTGGGGGGGAGTAGGGGTGGGTGGGGAGGGGGGGAGGAAGAGGGCAGAGACTCAGGGAGGTGGAAGTAAAGGGGGCAAGGGACAAAGAAGAGATGGAGGTGAAGGGGGGAAATTAGGGAGGGCAGAGGAATGTGGAACAGGGGGATTAAGGAGTGGGAGGAGAAATGGATACTCCTCATACTCCCTCAAAACACCCATGAATACACAGGCCTTGACACAGGGGAAGAGAGAGCGGTTCCCACATGAAAAAAAAAGATATATAGTATACAGTAGTGTTTTTGTGGACTTTACTGTAGTATACTGAAGTATTTACAGGTAACTATAGTATAAATACTGTAGTAAAAGAAACCTGTAGTACTGTATATACTATAGTAATTGATGTTGTGTTTTTGCGTATTGTAGTATACTGTAGTATTTATTGTCGTGTTTTTGCAGACTGTAGTATATTGTAGTATTTACTATAGTGTTTCTGCAGTATGAAAATGTATGCACTCACTAACTGTAAGTCGCTCTGAATAAGAGCGTCTGCTAAATGACAAAAATTGTACATGTAAATGTAATGTATTTACTATAGTGTTTTTGTTTTATTATCTTTGACATAGAAGTGGATGGCTTTCACCTGTAGGTACTCTAGGTAGTACTGGGCTCTGAATGGATAGTTCAGAGCTTCTGTTCTTTTCTATAACCTGTAGGGAACACAATATATGGTCTATATTGTCACGTTCGTTCATAGACGGGTCGGACCAAGGCGCAGCGTGATATGCATACATGTTTATTTGAAACGAATAAACAACGACAAAACAACAAACTAAACTAAACGTGAAGTCCAAGGTAGACAAACAACATACCTCACCCGGAACAAGATCCCACAACCCACTAGTGCCAATAGGCTGCCTAAGTAATGGCCCCAATCAGAGACAACGAGCGACAGCTGCATCTGATTGGGAACCACACCGGCCAACATAGATCTAGAACCCATAGAAAATCACACCCTGACTCAACAAATAAGAGTCCCCAGAGTCAGGGCGTGACAGTACCCCCCCCCCCCCAAAGGTGCGGACTCCGACCGCACAACCTTTACTTAACAGGGTAGGGGCCGGGTGGGTATTCTGCCTCGGAGGCGGATCCGGCTCCGGGCGTGACAACCACCTATTCTCCGCCTCCCTGTTGCGCCCCTGGTCTGGTCTGGACCTCGGCGCGCTGCTTCCCCTCTCCTTCCTCCCACTATACTCCAAGCCCTGTCTGGACCCTGGTGTGGGGAGACCCCGAACCTGGAGAGGGGCTGAGTCTGGGTCTGCACTGGAGCCGCTGACCGGAGCTGGACCGGGCACCGGTGGAGAGGATTGCTCAGGTTCCGGACTGGAGCCGCTGACCGGAGCTGGACTAGGCACCGGTGGAGCGGACTGCTCTGGCTCCGGAGTGGAGCCGCTGACCGGATCTGGACTGGACCCCGTGGAGCGGACTGCTCTGGCTCCGGAGTGGAGCCGCTGACCGGAGCTGGATCAGGCACGGGTGGAGCGGACTGCTCTGGCTCCGAGGTGGAGCCGCTGACCGGAGCTGGATCAGGCACCGGTGGAGCGGACTGCTCTGGCTCCGGAGTGGAGCCGCTGACCGGAGCTGGACTGGACCCCGGTGGAGTGGACTGCTCTGGCTCCGGAGTGGAGCAGCTGACCGGAGCTGGATCAGGCACCGGTGGAGCGGACTGCTCTGGCTCCGGACTGGAGCAGCTGACCGGAGCTGGATCAGGCACCGGTGGAGCGGACTGCTCTGGCTCCGGACTGGAGCTGCTGACTGGTGCCGGACCAGGCACCGGTGGAACGCGCACGGGCCGTGCCGGACTGGACACACTCACCACTGGTCTGGTGCGAGGAGCAGGCACGGGCCGAACCGGACTAGGAACATGCACCACTGGCTTGGTGCGAGGAGCAGGAACAGGCCGGGCCGGACTGGCGACGCGCACCACTGTCTTGGTGCGAGGAGCAGGAACAGGCCGGGCCGGGCTGGCGACACGCACCACTGGCTTGGTGCGAGGAGCAGGAACAGGCCGGGCCGGGCTGGCGACGGGCACCACTGGCTTGGTGCGAGGAGCAGGAACAGGCCGGGCCGGACTGGTGACGCGCACCACTGGCTTGGTGCAAGAAGCAGGAACAGGCCTGGCCGGGCTGGGAACACGCACCACTGGTTTGGTGCGAGGAGCAGGAACAGGCCGGGCTGGGCTGGCGATGCGCACCACTGGCTTGGTGCGAGGAGCAGGAACAGGCCGGACCGGGCTGGCGACGCGCACCACTGGCTTGGTGCGAGGAGCAGGAACAAGCCGGGCTGGCGACGCGCACCACTGGCTTGGTGCGAGGAGCAGGTAAAGGCCGGGCTGGCGACGCGCACCACTGGCTTGGTGCGAGGAGCAGGAACAGGCCGGGCCGGGCTGGGAACACGCACCACTGGTTTGGTGCGAGGAGCAGGGACAGGCCGGACCGGGCTGGCGACGCGCACCACTGGCTTGGTGCGAGGAGCAGGAACGGGCAGTACCGGACTGTGGAGGCGGACTGGAGGTCTGAAGCGGAGAACTGGCACAACCCGTCCTGGCTGGATGCCTACTTCCGCACAGTATGTGTGAGGCATTAGCACAGGACGCACAGGGCTGTGCACGCGCACTGGCGATACAGTACGTAGAACCGGCGCAGGATATGCGGGACCGAGGAGGCGTACTGGAGACCAGGAGCGTTGAGCCGGCACACCCCATCCTGGCTGAATGCCCATCTTCACACGGCACGTGCGTGGTGCTAGCACAGGACGTACAGGACTGTGCCGGCACACTGGCGACACAGTACGTAGCTCCGCATAACACGGAGCCTGCCCAGTCACACGCTTCCTCGCGTGAGTACGGGGAGTTGGCTCTGCTCTAACACTAGGCTCCGCCAACCACCCTTTTAGCCCCCCCCAAAAAAAATTATTGGGGCTGTCTCTCTGGCTTCTTCCTCGACCGGTGTCCTCTGTGTTGCCGTTGCTCCTCTCCTGCCTGGGCATCTACCTTCGCCCATGGCCCTTTCCCCGCAAATATCTCCTCCCACGACCACAACTTGCCCACCTGTGACATGGCTACTCTCTCCGCCTGGGCACGCTGCTTGGTCCTCGTTTGGTGGGATCTTCTGTCACGTTCGTTCATAGACGGGTTGGACCAAGGCGCAGCGTGATATGCATACATGTTTATTTGAAACAAATAAACAACGACAAAACAACAAACTAAACGAAACGTGAAGTCCAAGGTACACAAACAGCATACCTCACCCGGAACAAGATCCCACAACCCACTTGTGCCAATAGGCTGCCTAAGTATGGTCCCCAATCAGAGACAACGAGCGACAGCTGCCTCTGATTGGGAACCACACCGGCCAACATAGATCTAGACCACATAGAAAATCACACCCTGACTCAACAAATAAGAGTCCCCAGAGTCAGGGCGTGACATATATTTAGCATGTAGGTTTATAACTTATGGGTGGCACAAATTGCGACATGGGGGAGGGGAATGGGCTGGGTACTGTATATGCAAATTCAATACTGTAGTATTTACTATAGTTAAAAAAGTGTAGTGTTAGCCTCCTGAGTGGTGCAGCATTCTAAGGCACTGCATCACAGTGCTTGAGGCGTCACTTCAGCCCCGGGTTCGATCCCAGGCTGTGTCACAGTCGGCCGTGACCGGGAGACCCATGAGGAGGCACACAATTGGCGCAGCGTCGTGAGGGTTTGGCCGGCAGGGATTTGCTTGTCCCATCGCGCTCTAGTGACTCCTTTTGGTGGGCCAGGCGCCTGCAAGCTGACTTCGGTCGCCAGCTGTACAATGTTTCCTCCGACACATTGGTGCGGCTGGTTTCCAGGTTAAGCGAGGAGTGTGTCAAGAAGCAGTGTGGATTGGCAGGGTCGTGTTTCGGAGGACGAATGGCTTTCGACCTTCGCCTCTCCAGAGTCCGTACGAGAGTTGTAGCGATAGGACAAGTCTGTAACTACCAATTGGATATCACGAAAAAGGGGTAAAAAGTACACACACACAAAAAAAAAGTGTATTGTTTTTGCGGACTGTAGTGTTTTTGCAGACATCACTGTAGTATTTACTACAATGATATTTTTGCGGATAATACTGTAATATTTACTATAGCATTCTAGAGTATACTACAACATTCTATAGTAAGTACTACACATGATTGAGGGATACTACAGTGTGTAGCAAGAGTGAAATTGTGGTGTAGATATTGGGGGGGGACAAACAGTAGATGGAGTTCCAGGGGGTCCTCCCCCGAAAATCGTTTTGACATTTTTCCTGCAATTCTACACAGTTTGACATGACTTATGATGCCTCTTGATGGATATTTTGAGGGGTATATGGAAGGGTATTTTGAAAACACAGTGTTAGTGGAACGATAAGTGGAATGACCACCAACCAGTGGTGGAAAAAGTACAAAATTGTCATATTTGAGTAAAAGTAAAGATACCTTAATAGAAAATTACTAAAGTAAAAGTGAAAGTCACCCAGTAAAATACTACTAAAAGTATTTGGTTTTAAATATACTTAAGTATCAAAAGTAAATGTAATTGCTAAAACATACTTAAGTATCAAAAGTCAAAGTCAAAGTATAAATAATTTCAAATTCCTTATATTACGATAACCAGATGGCACTATTCTTTTATTTTTATTCACTCAGACATAATTTACAAATGAAGCATTTCGGTTTAGTGAGTCCGCCAGATCAGGGGCAATAGATGTTATCTTGATAAGTGTGTGAATTGGACCATTTTCTTGTCCTGCTA